AAAATGCTTATGGATTGTGTTGATGAAATAAGTTCATTCTCGTTTCCTTTAATCTCCTGTTACAAGCTAGTATTGAACCATGTGTAAATCAGTAATGTAGTGTCCAAACACAATGAAGAGAATTGCTCTTGTTTCATTCTCTGTACAAAAAATGAGTTTTTTCCTTGCTTCACAAACCTGAAACTAGTCTCCTGCCAAACCAGTTTGATCTGCCGAGTTTTCATCAATAATGTCAAATTATTTGTACCTTTTCCCGATGTCATCGAGGATACTACCTTGTGAGTTATCTGTGAAGTATCAATAACAACATGGAAAATTAATCACTACATCTGTGTTAACATTGAGGCTGATCGTTTCATGATCAGTTTGCATTTCATTCTGACTTAGCCGCGTCCACAAGACTAAATGAGTGCATGTGTGAGCAGAAAGCATTCATCAGCTTCGATGTCTAAGTAAACACCGTGGGTGGTCCAATCAAATCGGGAGTGGCTGGGTGGGAGTGGGGGACGTGTCAGAATGAAACAATTTTAATTTTCGGAAAATCGAAGAAGTGAATCAACCTGGTGAAAATTATTGGCTTCCTACCAAACCTTCGTGCATGCAGATTTGGGCGTCAGGAGGAGTGGAGGGCTGGAGGACCGTGATTTGCACTGTACAAAATCAGCTTTGGGAGTTTTAGTCTCAAGCAAAATACGACGATTGTGGACATGCAAATCAAACACGGCAAAATCGTGATTCCGAAGTGACTTTTTTGTCATCTGCTTTTAAGCATGTCTGTAGAAATAGACATTTTGAAAGTGTAGAATGCCCTCGAGTTCATACAACGGGTGTTGTGGTAAAACATCCAACGATTGTTTGAAAATCTAACTATCTTTACAAGTTAGCTCGGTATTTTTTAAAGTCGCCTTCATCATAAATCGTGGAAGGTTTACCATTAAACGAGTTTTGTATGCTTCAAATGACTAAGCAGCCTGGTTGTGCATCTGGAGCAGCGTTGTTGTGGCATCGCTTTGCAGCCTGGTTCCAGTATTCTTCCAAGAGTTACCAAAGGTTTTTTACACAGTTCATTTTTTTCGTGAAAATGGTGTCATAGCCATCGACTAATTCTAATCGCTACTTTGCCAACTTCTGAAACTGCAAGCGTCTGAGTCAACGGTTTGCTGTCTTGGCTGCAGCTCAAGTTACAAGACAT